ACCTGCTGGCCGTGAGAGTCGAATGCTATCATCACACTGTCGGGATACTTGTCGGGATGTAATGCGACGTATGCCTCCACCCAGCTCTTGATAAGATATTAGTATGAATTCCAACAAAGTACAAGTGGAGGGAAACACATGAGTCTTACACTGTCCTTAGAGAAGTTTTTTCTTTGGCCAACCAAACAGGCCTCGTAATCTTCGGGTTTTAATGGCGCGAAGCGGAAGCCTCGCTCCCGGGCACGAGTGATATACTTCTCTGGCGACTGGAAGTTCCGAATATCTTGGTACAAATCAACCGACCGGGCACTGGGAGGGCTGAGTCGGAAACCACGGTGAGTGAAGAAATGTTGCACTGTTTCTGGAAGGTCCTGGGGTATCCCGGGCCAAAAGCGGGGGAATGAGCTGCCCAGCTTCACATTATTGAAGCCAAAGGTTGCCCGGAAGTATGCTCTTGTTTCATCTAGCAAGGCAATTCCAATGCCTTGATGTTGGTACTTTGGCGACACGGCAAGAACTGCGATATACACGGTGTTTGGTGCACCGTGGGCATTTGTATAAGCAAGACAGAAGCCTACTAGCTGCGATCCAAAACGCGCGATGAAATGGTGACCATGCGGGCGTACTATCAGAGACCGCAAACTTTCAGCGGGAATAAGGTAGGTCGGGAGAGCAGCGGCCCAGACTTCGACCACCTCATCCAGATCTCTTTGCGCATCAAATGGCATTACTACCGCAGAGGTCTTTGTCAAAGCATTAATCCCCAGCGGAAGAGCACCTGTCGGGACTAATGCCCCGAACATGATATCGGCAGCCACAGAAAATGCCTCGATGGTCGGCTCGTATGTGGTAATATAGGTCTTAACACTAGGAGCATCAAGGAAGTCATAAGGGTTGCAAACAGCAATATGCACCAATGCATGAACACGTTCAGCGAGTTCCAAGCCTAATAACTCCTGGTATGGCGACTCCCTTGCATTGAATGAAGTGAAAATCACCACATCAGCGACTTCAAGGGTTCGCCATTGCTCCGAAGTCAAACCGGTCGCTCCGTATCTGAGCTCCGCAATGGAATTGTTGTGTTGCCGCAAGACATCAAGATATTTGTTAGACTGATATAATCCTGGCCTCCCCGTTCCTTCGCCGTCAACCGCACCACCGACTGGGATATTATCTCCAGGGAAGAGGAAGATGATGATTGAAGTCTTTGATAGGGGGAGAATGCCATTTTTGTCACGAACGAGTGTGGTCGATCGAGAATATATATCCATAGTCGTCTCGGCAATTCTATTGTTGAGCGAGTTCAAGTCTGCGAGATTAGATTGTTGAAGAGCGACATCCCAGTTCAAAAACTTGTCCTTCACCGTAGCAACATGGCGACAAGCGTCCGCCAGTCGTGACCGCTCGAATCTGCCGGACTTTATTGCTTCACAAACTGTCTTGATCGATGCTACTTGCACATCAAAGGTATGACAGATCATGATGCTATCGCTGCCAGCGCGCAACGCTAGGACCGAGCCTTCTTCTGTACCGTATGTAGAGCGGATTCCATCCATCTCCAGGCAGTCTGTGATGATCATACCATCATAGGCCATGTCCTTGCGCAAAATCCCCATAACATCCGGAGAAAGTGTTGCAGGCCGCGTGAGATCGATACAGGGCAGTGAGATATGAGCAGTCATGACGGTCTCAATGCCTTCAGCGACAGCCCGCCTAAATGGAATCAATTCGCAACGCTCCAGCTGATCCCTTGTTTTGGGAATCACCGGTAGTCCATAATGCGAGTCCACAGCTGTGTCTCCATGACCTGGAAAATGCTTTACACTAGGGACGATGTTTTGCTCCCGCAAACCCCGCGCGGCCGCACTCGCAAACCGGCCCACAAATTCAGGGTCATCACCAAAGCTGCGTACACCAACAACTGGGTTTAAGGGCTCCGAGTTGATATCGCACACCGGTGCATAGTTCATGTTAATCCCGAAGAAACCCAAAGTTTCCCCCGTGGCTTTCCCCGCACTGTAGGCGCACTCCGGGTCATGCGTGGCGCCGAGTGCCATGGCGCCTGGTACTTGAGCAGCGATTGGCGGAGATATGCGAGTGACCAACCCATTCTCCTGATCGATTCCGATCAATAATGGTCGCTCATGTCCAGCCAATCTGGCTTCATTCTGTAAAGCCAGTGTCAAGGCCTGAAGAAGATTAGTCACGCGTCAAGATACTTGGAACCTCGGATATCGCACCTGGAGCTGTTCTGAATTCTCAAAATTGCGCGAGAAGAGAACGATGCCTCCAACGTGGTAGTCATGAATCAAAATCTTGATTTCGGGACTTGGGGTGCAGCCATAAAACCCCACCGCGAAGAGCTGCGATCGTCAGTGAGATTCACAAAGCAGGGGTTTCAGAGCTCATATACCTGGCCAACCTGCTTTTTAAGATCTGAAGAAACCATTCTGGCTTTGTTGATTTTATTTGGATGGTCTCATGGATTGCAGATGGTTCAAACGGGAGTGACGTTGAAAGGATCGGAGTTGACTCGGTGTCCACCCGTGGACTTGATGCAACATTGCACCTACACTCGGAACGCTTGAGGGTATTTCAGCTTAACCTCTTAGAGTCTAGCGAAAGCCAATTGCGATTGGAACATTTGAATGTAACAACATCTGATATAAAAGATAAGGCAAGTTCGATGGATGCGGGGTAGGTAACCTCCAGGGCTTGATAGGAGATATATATCTTGCAGGTGATGTCTCCAACTTGAACTAACACTTACACTTCCAAAATGGCTGAAATTCATGAAAATGGTAAAAACCCCACGTCGGTTCAGGTGGCCGCCTCACAGCCACATTCTACCTTGGAGGAGTATGAACAGCTCTTTGGCGTCGACGAGGACGCGTATGAGCAGCCCACCACCACTAGGAAAGAACTCTGGTCCTATTACCTCTATTACAATGGCGATAACGGTGTCGGTCCGGGATCTTACAGTCAAGCTCTGTATGTACAAATGGGAACACTGGAATTTCCCGACTAATCCCATGAAGCTTCCAGTGGGCCTTGAACGGTGCCGGACATCAACCTGGCTCGAATCCACCTAAAGCCTGCACCGATTCATCGGCATGTGTAGTGCCGTGGGCGGGAGGCACGAGAGCAGTATCTTCCGTGGTTCTTATTGCCAATGGCCTTTGCTTCACTTTCATGACGGTGATATTCGTCTGGCTGGGAAGTGCTGCGGACTATGGAACATTCGGCCGATGGCTTCTTCTGGCGTTGACGGTGGTCTGCTGGGCACTGCAGTATGGTATGATGTCCATCCGACATCCAAGCCAGTGGCCAACAGCGATGGCATTGTACGTTGTTTCATACATTGCCTACGGCGCAACGCTAGTATTCTATGCTGCTGTATTTCCCCGTCTGGCACGGTATACGCCGCATGTGCGCAAAGCGAGAGAAGAGGATCTCAGAGAGGGTAAGATCAACCAGGAAGAATACGATACGGTTGAATCACTGGAGAGAAATCATATCAGGTGAGTTGGGGAACTTTGAGCTCCTATCCAAGATGTCGCTGACGATAGTAGCAACATTTCAACTGCACACAGTAACATTGGGTACCTATTCACGCTCGTGCTTAATCTGAGCGTCCTACTTCCACTCCAAAACAACACTTTCTCGAATAACCTGGCCCTCTGTCTTACCAACTCATGTAAGCTTTCTGAGCAGTGAATGTAGTGTGGAATTTATCTAACGTTCTACAGATTGGGTCGTTCTTGGCATCTGGTGGTTTATTTTCCAGCAAAAAAGGCCAGGTCCAAAGATACCAAAAGGGTCAAGCTACACCACCATTGGCTTCAAGCAGATCTGGCTGGCCATTCGGGAAATTCGGTCTCTCCCACAGACATTTCTGTACTTTTTCGCCTATTTCCTTCTTGCCGATGGCCTAAACACCACTGGTGCGTTCATTCCTTCTTTGCTTGCTGCAACGAGACTCGATAGCCCCTTGTTGACAAGGGAATTCACTAATATGAATTATTAGGTACCCTCGTTAGCATCATCCAAAATGACTCCGTCTCGTTTTCTTTCTTGCAGATTACATATCTCGGCATTACCCAAGCCGCCTGCTCGATCACCTCAACATTCGGCTTTTGGTATATACAACAGTACTTCAAATTTAAGACGAAGACTATGTTCTTGTTCACCAATTTCTTTACCGTTTTGATCCCCTTTTGGGGCATGCTAGGACTATGGACCGATCACATCGGGTATCACAATAGGGTATGTATCAGGCCCCAACTGAGAGTCTACAGCTAACAGCCATGGAGTGGGAGTTTTACTTCTACAATGTCATCTTCGGGCTTTTCCAGGCTCCATACTATGCGGTAGGTGGAACTTTGAATGGTCTCCAACACAATTCCTGCCCCCATAACTTCTAACATCGTGCCAGTACGCTCAAACGATGATCAGCGAATTGATGCCACGCGGCTATGATAATATGTTTTTCGCACTTTTTGGAATAACCAATCGCGCTGTAAGTCGGATGTCTTGAATGCTATATTTCCTTCGAATCACTAACCTTCTAGTCTTCAATAATCGGTCCCAATGTCATCCAAGCCATCATAAACAATACCCACAACAACTGGATGGGCTTCCCATTTCTGTTTGCGATCTGCGCTGGGGCAATGATCGCTATCTGCTTTGTAGACATCAAAAAGGGTCGTGAGGACTGTCGAGAATTCACCGAAAAGCGCAAGATAGATCGTGTCGTGGCGGAGAGTGGTCTAGATCCCGCTTATATCGCAAAGGGGAAGCAATCAGCTCGTAACGAAGATGTCCCCGAAGTGCAAAACGAGCTCGCAAGCACTTCGGTGAGGGAGTGAGCGTGTGTATTTTGCGAACATTTGAGTTGTTATTCTTCAGCTCTCTTTTAGTCTCTGTTTTGATATGTCACATGCTATCATTAAGTCTTACATAGATGTCATGTCTCCAACAAGATATTCAAAATCGACCCTTCATGTCTCAGCCTTTTTCGTTTCTTGCTGTATCTCCTCGGTGCTCTCCTCAACCTTACGCTGGTCCCTCTTTTCGACCTTGTCCCGCCATTGATCGCCGAAAACAGTCGTGAGCCATACACCGACCCCGGATACAACCAAAAATAGGGCGCTGATGGTACTAAACCACCCCACTCCCATGCTCTCTATCGCTGGAAGAACAAGTCCAGATCCCAGAGCACCGAACACGTACCGTGATAGGTAGCTACCGGCAACGACTTCGGCACTCCGGCCGCTTGACTGCATAACATCCAGGCTGTATGTATTGAGACTAGGGAAGCAGAACAGCTGCGCCACTCCCTGGAAGAACATCGCAAGTACGGGGACTGGAATTCCACCAACAGCCTTATCGACCGTCCAGCCGTAGATCAAAATACAGCCGGGGATGACGACGCCCAAGAATATCAGACAAGATTTTAGTCTGTCTTCGGGGACTCGGACACCACCGCGCTTGCGAATCCATTTCTTCACAGTGTGGTCTGCCCACCTTCCACCCATGAGTGTGCCAACAAGATAACCACAGCCTGGAGCGATATAAAACAGTCCCGTCTCGATAGGACTAGTGAGGTGGAAGCGTGGGTTGAGTACATATCGAATCGGAGTCAACAGAGAGTACTGGTTCCAAACGAGAGCGCCGGCAGCGAGACCCGTGCAGAAGAGGTTGGGAAATTTGAATAGCATGATAGCAACTTGGAGGGGAGAGATCCGGTGCCAAAGATATTTGGCTTTTTGCCACGTCGTCTTGTCGGCTATGTCGCCTTTAGTCAAATTCGGGTAGGTTTCGGGGAAAAAGAAGAAGACAAGAAGCGTGCCGCAGCCTCCAAGAGCAGCCTGGAGCCAGAAGATCGCTCGCCATGAGCGAAAGGTGACAATCACGCCCTATATTTGTAGATCAGCGGATTGTCTCGGCGCCGGGGTTATAAGGTAGACATACGCCAATGAATGGTCCAAAGGCTGGCCCAACCAGGGTTCCTGACAAAAACCACCCCAACGCTGTTGCCCGTGCTCGAGGTTCGTATACATCACCTAGCGCCGAGCTCCCAACTACCAAGAAAGATGTTCCTTGGAATGCAGTCAAGACGCGGAAAATATAATACGCTGGGAGGTTGGGTGCTAGTGCCGTGCCGATGCTAAACGCGAAAAATAAGAATGCGCTCACAATGAAAACCTAGTCCCAATTAGCTTGTTACTTCAACATGAACATATGCTCGTTACCCACCGGACGTCGCCCCCAGACCTGACTAAAGGGCCCCCAAAAGGGAGCCGCAATGCCCATGAATGCCATATATAACGCATTGCTCGCGTTTATCACACTTCCTGTGGTGTTATAGGTCTTGGCAACTTCAGGTATACCAGCTAAGATAGAGGTAGAGGAGATAGGTGCCAGGAAAGAGCAGAAGGAAAGGATCCCAACGATAATGACCTTGCGTGCTGGTGAAAAGCGTAGATATTGCTCTGCATTGACCTCCTGGAAGTCATCGTTGACAACCATATCATGATGTGAAACATGGCTTTGTACGTGATCAAGACTATTCACAGCTCCTTCTCGCTGTGAGCGTCGGGATTGAGATCTCTGAATTTCGGTTTCATTCGCCCAGGATTGAGACCGCCTGTCCTCGCTGGAAGCTTTCGAGGTAGTTGGAGACATGGCAGGAACCTTTTAGCAAGGGCCAGTGCGTGCTAGCTTGTGGTAAATCAGATCCGAGTCTATCGCAGTGCAAATGCAAAATATGAAAAAGAAATATTTGCAATCGTTCTTAAATTCGGCTTCTTTCCGAGATCATGCTCGTCGGGTAGATCCGTGAACGCAGAACGTCTTCAATTGAAATAGTAAAAAGTGAAGAGATGAAAGTAAATGAATTGAGTCTAAGCAAGTCAACAGCAACGAGATACATCGCAGACTTAAAGCGTGAGTCAGAGAAATTTGAATGGCTCTTTTTCCTATCATCTGGAAGGATCGGCGGGTTGCTTCCGATGTAGCATTTCTAGAGGCCAGCGGCCCCCGAACAGAGGGCTTGCTATCATCTCTGGGGGTCCATTCTTCCCAGTTTAGAGGCGATAGACGAATGTGATTCGGGGAGAAGACCGGTGGGTTTGCTGAGTAGGGCAGAGGGGCGGAAAAGAATCCGGGGCAACGGGTGCCGGAGATACGGTTAATCCGTACGGAGTTCTAGTTGGGCATGGAAGACGAAGAAAAACATTATAATGTATGTTGTAAATCTTTTTGGAATCTTATAAGTTAGAAAGATATCTGCTAGCTGTTTTCAAATTCAGGCTCTCATTCCTCATTCATTTTATAACCTAGTACTGACCCACTACAGCTAGTGAGATGGGAGTCTTTCACATGTCGAACAGATGCTGGTATATAACTACCTACACGTAACTAACTACGTAATTAACGTTAACTAGTTAGTTAGTTAACTATTTAGTTAGTTAGTTAGTTAACCATTGACCATTCAATAATAAAACTCTTTCAAAAGGAGTATCTGGAAAAATGCCTAATCTGGTGTTGTGGCTGTTCAGCCCCTGCTCATGACGTTATCCCCTTCTGACCGCCAATGACCGACTTTGTCCCTCTACCTACCTCCCCCACGCTTTTTGCTTTTGTCTTGGAGATTTCGAGCCCAATTTAATAGCTTGCGAATTCATTCTTATTCCAAAACATGTCTCCTCAGAGTCAGGTCCCTGCTAATAGCAAGGGCTCATGGACAAGTTTCCTAAAGGTATACAGGCTCATTTTGTTTGAGTATACCTTTGCTAACAAATTTCTAGTCGATTGCCTCCTTTAATGGCGATCTATCCTCGCTGACCGCTCCTCCCTTCATCCTGTCTACTACCTCTCTCACCGAGTATTCCGCCTACTGGGCCGAACACCCCGCCCTCTTCGTGGCACCAGCTAAGGAGGCCGATCCCGCGAAGCGTGCTCTGCTGGTTCTCAAGTGGTTCCTCAGCACACTGCGCCAGCAATACTGCAGCCGTAGTGAGAAGCTCGGTAGCGAGAAGAAGCCTTTGAACCCGTTCCTGGGAGAGCTGTTTATCGGCAAATGGGTGGGTGACGCGGAAGTAGGGGAGACTACCTTGATCAGTGAACAAGTCAGGTACGCGAGGCCACTTTTGTATAGAACTACAACCCACTGATTAAATACTAGCCACCATCCTCCGGCCACAGCCTACGCTATCTGCAACGAGGCAAACGGTGTCGAGGTGAGTGGATAAAGATTATACCAAGTCATTGAGATGTTAATAACTGACAGTACAACCACAGCTGCAAGGATATAACGCGCAGAAGGCCTCTTTTTCTAGTACCATCCTCGTGAAGCAGATTGGCCATGCGCTGTACACTCTCACCAAGCCCGGATCCGACGATAAGGAGCAATACCTGATCACACTACCCAACCTACACATCGAATCGCTGATCTACGGCTCGCCCTTCGTCGAATTGGAGAAGTCAACCAAGATTGTCAGCAGCACTGGCTATATCGCTAAGATCGACTATTCTGGTAAGGGCTGGCTGAGCGGCAAGAAGAATACCTTCACCGCGAGCTTGTTCAAGGAAAGCGAGGGCGAGAAGAAGCCCCTTTACACTGTAGAGGGCCAGTGGTCGGATAAGTTCATTATCAAGGACGCCCACACCAAAGACGTCGTCGACACCTGGAGCTCCAAGGCGGACCCCGTCACTCCGCTCACCCTGGCTCCCCTCGAGCAACAAGATCTGTACGAGAGCCGACGTGCCTGGAGCGAGGTGGCCGCCAACATCCAGAAGGGCGACATGGATGCCGTTTCTGGGAACAAGTCGCGCATTGAGACCGCTCAGCGCGAACAGCGCCGCCTCGAGAAGGAGGGAGGCCGCGAGTGGGAGCGCCGTTTCTTCAGCCGTATTGAGGAGAGTGCCGAGGACCCCCAAATCCAGCATCTTGCTAAAGCCATCGATCTTCCTTTCGAGGCCGACAAGACTGGCGGTATCTGGCGCTTCGATGCTCAGAAGGCTGCTGGCGCTCAGCCGCCTTACCACAAGATTGGCGGCGAGGGTCTCGGTCTCACCGAGTAGACTATTGCTGGGATTGGACAATTTTCTGTCGCCCTCTGAATTTTTCTTGGGACCTAGCTTGCACAACATAGATTTGACGTTTTTGGATTCCTATTCTGCACCGTGTCATTTTGCATTTCGATTGTATATAGTTCCCGGTCCAGGTTGAAGTTGAAGCCGCGCACTTGCTTATAAGCTTGGACGGCTCAACTTTTCCATATAATGATATGGTATCTTCAAATAATTGATAGTTTACATCTTTGAACTTGGTGAAAGTTCGTGTCGAGGCTGAATGCTGCGTCAATGACGAACAACTAGTACTTCCGTGACTACGAGAGCTACAATGTACAATACTAGAACAGTCTCTATATATAGGCGCCATACTGGACAAGTACAGGACATACATAATTCATGACACTTTTAGCCCAGAACACAACTGGGCATTGGATCTACCTCTACCAGACCCGTTCAGCCATACATCATAATCATCGACCGATATTGCACATGGTGAGGGACAAAGACAGAACAACAGAAGGGAGAAGTAGGTTAAAAAAAAAACTGGAAAACCGTCCGCGGAAACAATTGACACACCGGACCCGAATAGACACCGACTAGGTTATAGCGAGAAAACAAAAAGAAAAACAGAGAAACCTAGAGAGGAATTGGTGAATTTAATACAGAGACCGCATCAGATGGGAGCAGTGGTAGCAAAGAAAAGCAAGACGGCTGAGAGGAATGGCAAGGAAACGAGAAAGAAAACAAATAAACATCAAGAAGACAATCCCCCAAAGTAAAGAAAACCAGCCAAGCTCCCCCAAAAAAAGAGAAGTAGAGATTACACAGATGTTGAGGAGAGAAAGATGAAAAGAAATCGTCTGGGTTCTGTCTGTCCTTTTGACAAGACATTAGAGGTTTCTGTCCCTGTAAAATGGACAAAAAACCAAACCCCTTTTCAAATCAACCGCAAATGCAACGCCATATGTGTTTGGTGGGTCATTATGTCTCCCCTTCGTTTCTTTTTGTCTTTTTAGTGGCCGTAGTTGCCACCCCAGCCGCCACGGCCAGAGTTCGCATAGTAGTTACCGAAGCCTGCCCCGTAGTTGTTACCATAGCCAGAGGCCTGGTGAGTCTGGGTGGCCGCACCCTGGTGACCGAGTCCACCGAGTCCACCGTACTGGGGGTTTAGCTGAGGGTAGCTACCGAAGGACTGCTGACCCTGCTGACCCTGGAGCGGGGGAAGACCAGTCTGTGCCTGGGGCTGACCTGGGACACTGTTGGTAGCAGATCCCGGACGGTTCTGGGCGAGAGAGGGGCTGGGACCACCGGCCTTGGGAGCCTCAAAGCCTTTGGTCTCGTCGGTGGCAACGGGGGGCTGTCCAGCGATAGGAGGATTTGGGCCGAAGCTGCCCTGGGAACGGCTGAAAACATCCGACATCCCAGTACCAAAGGCATTGGCGCCAGTAGCAGACTGGTTATCAGACTGCTGGGCGGAGCCAGTACGGCCGTAGACAGAGTCGCGGCTGGGCATGGCCTGGCTGAAGCTACCGGTGTTTGCGGGGGAAGACGATTGCTGGTCATAAGAGAAAGCCCCGTGGGGCTGGCCGTACATGCCACCCTTACCGGCATAGGGACCATACTGGCTACCATAGCCGTATTGCTGGTTATGCTGCTGTTGCTGCTGCATGTAGTGATCCTCATACCGGCGAGCATCATCGTACCTCGGGCGGTTACCGCCACCGTATTGCTGCTGCTGCTGTTGCTGTTGCTGCTGGCCCATCTGGTTCATGTAAGAAGCGTAGTGGGGGTTGTTGTAGTAGTTAGGATATTGGTAGCCATAGGCGTGCTGCTGCGCACTTTGGCCAGGCATATGCTGAGCAGTGGGAGTCTGCTGAGTTGCACCGGGAATGGTGGGATTGGGAGTGTTGTGGCCGCTGTTAGTGGCGTCAACAGGGCCGTAGCGGTTAGGAGGCTGCGTGGTGGTAATCTGAGCCTGGGCCTCAGCACCCGAGACACCAAACCCAGCTCCGGCGCGAGGACCGGTGGGGGCGTCCTGGGTCTGGCCGTAAGAGCCATAGGAAGCGTAGTAGGGGAAACGCTGCTGCTCGGCAGCGTAGAAAGGAGAGTACTCGCTGCCGGTGGTGGCAGTAGGTTGAGCAGGGGCCTGGTTGGCGAATGGCTCTGGGATCTGCGGCTGGCTCACCTGTTGGGTGAAGGGATCGAATGGCTTCTGCTGGGGCTCAGAGTAACGAGCGAAGTCGGTAAAAGAGTCGGCGGAAGCACCCTGGGGGACCGGAGGCAAACCAGGGGCAGGACGCCCAACGGCACCAGACTCCATCGAGTGGGGTGCCTGAGTCGCGGGTGGAAGAGAGGCACGGGGGGCAACGGGGGAGTGCTGCGGGGGCTGGGCGCGGGTCTCGGCCTCCTCGCGGTTTTCATCGATGTCAATAGCGTCACCGTTCAGTCCCATGCTACCGAATTGAACAGCAGCACGGTCTACTGCGTGATTGCCGGGCATAACCACAGCCTGCTGCTGTTCCATCACACGGCGTTGAAGGCCTGGGGTACGGCCCTGTTTGGTAGCGCTGGGAGGGTATGCAGACGAGGGGAAGCGGGAGGGAGTA